ATTGCCAAGTTTACGATGGATTTCAATCTAAAAAGCAGACTCTGAAAGTTAAATGAAATCTGATGTTTTACTTGTATGAAGAATCGAATCAAAAATGATCAAATCAATGGTCCAATATTGAAATTCGAATCGAATCGAGGTCTGGCTGAATTATTGCAGCCCTATCATACAGTTCACCTAATTGATAGGTCAACTAATAGCAAACAGTCCTTGAATGTATTGTATGCATTTGAAAAGGAACTAAAACAAGACTTCATTCATTCAAATACAACATACACGACACACATTGGCATGACAAAAGGCAAACTGAAAATGTCATAACCACTTCATGGAACAGACAACACAAATATCTTTACAGCAACCTTACATGGTAGACACACCAGATTCAATTTGACACACATATCTGGCCTTTAATCTATGCAAAGTTTCACATTCTGTGTAATTCCTGCATGAAAGACTAACATATTCGATATCTTGTCAGTTTAGTTGCTACTTTTCCTACATTATAAAAATGAACATTTAAAAAACTAAATACATGCCAACTGGAAAATATATTTGTTTAAAATACTAGAAATTGTCAAGAAACACCAGTTCACCACTGGACCTATTCGTGAGCAAAGTTTGGTCAAATACTGCCAGAGAAATATATCTTCATGATTAAGCACTAAGACCATTTTCAGTCTAAGTCGAAGTTGTTGCAATCCAAACTTAGCATGTGCTTCCTTGGTGCATGCAAAGAGTTACCCTTGTATCAATAACGGTTCCTGAAAGGTTTGAGTTGTGTGACACACTGATTTTCACTCTGCCCGAACTTATCTGAACAACACAAGTGAAATAACCAGCAAATGTATTCAAATGTATAACACTAAATTAATACAAACAAGAAGACAAAGTCATCAATATCCCCAGCAATGGCAAAATACTCTTCATGATTATGTCTACGAGTTATGATTATGTCAAATATTTAGGTGTGTAAATAGAAAAGTGGAAGGAGAGTATTGAAAGGTTTTTAAAGTTCTGCTCCAGAAAATAGCACTATCACCAATTTCAGTCAAAGTGAAACTTGTTGCCATGGAAACGCCAAAATATTTTATTTAGAATTCCAAAACTACCAAAAGGCACCAGTACACCACCAGATATATGTATGTGCCAAGTTTGGTGAAGAAACATAGAACGGTTTTAGAGTTCTGCTCCGGAAAAGAGCACTACCACCAATTTCTGTTTTAGTCAAGCTTGTTGCCATGGAAATGCCAAAAATATTTTATTCAGAAATCCAAAACTACCAAAAGGCACCAGTACACTGCCAGACCAGTCTATGTGCCAAGTTTGGTGAAGAAATGGTGAACGGTTTTAGAGTTCTGCTCCGGAAAAGAGCACTACCACCAATTTCAGTCTAAGTCAAACTTGTTGCCATAGAAACGCCAAAAATATTTTATTCAGAATTTAAAAACTACCAAAAGGCACCAGTACACCACCAGATCTATCTATGTGCCAGGTTTGGTGAAGAAATAGTGAACGGTTTTAGAGTTTTGCTCCGGAAAAGAGCACTACCACTAATTTCAGTTTTAGTCAAACTTGTTGCCATGGAAACGCCAACATTTTTTTATTCAGAATTCCAAAACTACCAAAAGGCACCAGTTTACCACCAGATCTATCTATGTGCCAAGTTTGGTGAAGACATATTGAACGGTTTTAGAGTTCTGCTCCGGAAAAGAGCACAACCACCAATTTCAGTCTAAGTCAATCTTGTTGCCATGGAAACGCCAAAAATATTTTATTCAGAATTCCAAAAGGCACCAGTACACCACCAGACCAATCTATGTGCCAAGTTTGGTGAAGAAATAGTGAAAGGTTTTAGAGTTCTGCTCCGGAAAAGACAAAAGTGCACGGACGGATGCACGGACGGAGTCCAATTTAATACCCCCCGCAAAACGCGTTGCGGGGGATAAAAAAACGAAAGAAAAGAAAATCAAACTGAAACTAGGATTCAAAGTACCAAAATAAATATTCATGTATCCATCCACATATGTTCACTGGTCTAAAATCAGGTGTGTTTTGGGTAGTATTTTACACTAACCATACATTTTTTATACCACATAAGCTGATAACATTAAAACAGAGAAGAAGTTTTATTTTCATGCTGCTATTTTAAAAAAATATATAAACCAACAAAAAATATTAATCTAAAACTACAGCTTTTGTAAGGCTTGTAGTTCACAGGACATTTTCTGAAACACAGCACACATGGTACGCACAAGCAGTTAGTGATGAATGGATATAATTAGCACTGATCGAGGTTAATTGAGCTGGTAATGTTTTCAGTAATTATACTAGGGATATGGGAATCTGTTCCTGTATTCTACTTGACCAGGAGATCGATCTGTTGTGGTAATTATTCACTGACAAGCGTCAACTATCGTCAACTATTACATGCACTGCTTGGCAGCTGTCTGTATCTACCAATACAGGGAGGGATGTTTGTAGTCACCTGCCAATTGAACTGTGTTTAGTATTGTTGTGGCAACCAGTGATAAAACAGGAGTCCTGAACTCAATACCAACCTGTCCCAAGTAATATTTTAAGACAGTGACAGTGTTAGCACAGACTTAGGTATCAGATCATGTCATTGATTTCAAGGTTCAGTATGTAACAGCTCTGAAACAACTTGATATCTCCTTGCTGACCTTCAGTGCACAGCCTTCTGTAGACACTGGTTTCAATGACAGACAGGATATGACAATGCTTTACAGGGCTTATTCAATATGTTTGGATGGTTTCTAATAAACGTCAACCCTAGTCCAATGAACACATTTATGTGGAAAGCTATTAATCCTATCCAATTAATCCATAACTAATACTTGTAAAATGGATGGATAATACATGAATATGATAAGTCAACCTGAGATTTCAAATCAAAATATCACCAAAGAAAATCAAAATTTGGCATCTCTCATCCAACACTCAATAGATATTCCATGATTAACTTCCTGCAGTAATATTTGCTATGGTAACCAAAAAATAACACATATTACATAACACAAATGATCTACTAACTTGATCATGCATTTTGGTATCACTTTCGAATATTGTTGTGTAGGCAAAGGTTTATAACTAGCATGTGCTGATCTTACATGGCTCAGAAGAAGATTTATTTGACTTGGGCTTCGGACAACTAAGATTATTGATCTGGTCTTAGTACTATTACAACAACACTGTTTTCTGATTTTGAAATTAACAACATAAACAGCAAATGACAGCTAAAGTCTGCAAATGACACTGGATGTCTGAATCAAAACAGGTTGACATTTCATCTACCCAAGAATCTCTATGAGAGAACACGCATTTTGTTGCTCAATGCAGCACTCTGGAATATTCCAGTTATATCACGGCACCATAATCACAACTAGATCTACATGAGAGGGTGTACATCTTCTCCAAATGTTGTTGATCACCTATGGACAGCATATGGATCCTTGACAGCAGACTGAAGGTAACTGGAGAGAAGTTTACCAATGAAGGCAACTCAACTACAGCCTACACATCATCACACACTGGTCTGGTATGTTACAGACATGATTCATGCTCACATCAACCATTAATTTTCCAGCAACAGATTTGACAGCCCCAAAAGATACAAAATGAACTAGGTTGCATTACCATTGACAAACAAAGGCAATGGGAGAGATTATAAAATGTTCATCATTCTTGAAAAACAGGCCTGTTTGCCAGGTATAGAATGCCATATATCCTCTGTTAGATATCCAAAGGTAAATTGATCTTGTGCAAGTCCTTGACTCAATATCTACTTGGGGGCCAGAGTATATTCTGTTTAGTGAATGCACAATGGCAGTTCAAAAATTACTCTAAAATTCTACAGGCATATAAAGAGTCACAGTGATACAGACCTGTTTTCACTTTTCGGGCAAAGCACATGACCTGGCATGTTTGTCGAAAGAGACAACTAACGGGATCGGGTGGTCAGGCTTGCTGACTTGGTTAACACATGTTATTGTATCCCAAGTAGGTAGATCGATGCTCATGATCTACTCTATTATTTACAGACCGCTGCCACATAGCTGGAATAATGCTGAGTGCGGCATAAAACTAAACTAACTCATGACCTGGCATCAATTAAACGTTTGCATATATTCGAGGTCTGGTGCCTAATAGATGAAATGTGATATTTCAACAGTTCTCTTTGCTATTAGAAATAGAACTACAAATTCAAAAGATCCCATTGATGCAAGTAGCCACAAGCTAAACCAGTTACTTCCTATTGCAAGACCAGGTTGTGTACGTTTTTGGAATGGGTGCACTTCACTCCAAAGGTATGTATGACCAGATAAATTTACAGGATGCTGCACTGTTGCTAACAAATGTGCATAAAACAATGCCCACTCACAGTGGTTTGAATGCAGAGAATCAAACATTTTTATGGATGGTTGACATGAAATTGTAAAATTTGGACTTGATCCAAGATTGAAAAGCTTGTGCAGTAACAAGGCAACCATGATCTGTGTCTGAAAGTCCCCATTTTAAACAACAATGCCTAACTAACATGAATGCATCCCCGACCTGTGAAGATCCGGGTTAGAACTGATCTTCAGTAACCCATGGCATGGTTGTTGTAAGTGATGACTTACGGGATTGGGTTGTCAGACTCGCTTACTTGGTTGACACATGCCATCGCATCCCAATTGTGTACATTGATGTTCATGCTGTTGATCACTGGATTGTCTGGTCCTGTCTCGTTATTTACAGACCGATGCCATTAAGCTGGAATATTGCTGAGTGTGGTGTAAAACTAAACTCACTGAATGCATCCCCTTGTGGATATATTTGGGTATAATACTATGCTTGTGACAACAAAAGAAACACAAGCATTCTAACACAAAGCAAGAAGTCCTATGAAAAGGAGCGTAAGAACAAAAACATAATAGAAGATTTGAACTTACTCTCAATACACTTTGTTGAAAAATAAAAGAATGATCTTTTCTTACCTGCTTGTCCAAGTTGTTTGTAGAATCTGTACTCCAAATGTAGCTGTGGTGCCCGAGATTTCATAGGCTCCTGAGAATGAAAAAATGGGAAATATATATATTATGTTTTAGAACACTTGCAGCATCTTCATGATCAATCAAATTGATAATAACACCTTTCACAACGAACATATTGCACAAATAGGCTATTGAGATTTTTTATAAGCTAATTATTGGTGTTAAGTCTTATTTCATATCCTGGTCTCTAAATTAGTATTCTAAATTATAGATACATGTGGCAGGCATATAGGAAAAACAAAATGCCTATTGCCATTGTGTTGGATAAAGAATACACTTTCTTATTTTTGTAAATTCAGAGGTATTCTAACAGTGCATTCAAAGCAATAACATAAAACTAAGTATTACACAATCTTTTTTTATATCGGTCTTGATATCAGTGAAATACATTTTATTTCCTCAAAGACATAACATTAGATGCTACCAGACAAAATATTTCCTGCTAACAATTTTAACATTTTTACTGACATTGTTATCTACCACTGACGCATATGTCACTTATTAAGTGAAAAGTGGGAATATCAGAAATTTGGAGAGCCATTCCAACCCCTGTATCCCCTTGCACATACATCCTTGAATCCATGGATGAAAGGGACAGTTGAATAGTACACCAGGTGAATGCAGAATGATTAGAATAATAAATTATCTACCAGTTTTGGAAGTTTTGCTGAGATAACACCATTGTGGTTTGTTAACATGGTTCTTATAGGACAACGCAGAACTTACATGACCTTCGTATGTATATGTATGTATACACCACAACGGGTATAAACATGGCCTGGGCTATTAGCTATTGTTATATTAACTCTACTTCCCAGTAATTCTTTGGGGTACTACCACCACTATACACATCTCACAGTCACAAGTCAGTTTCAATGTTTGTAAACATTTCAAAAGCAGACATAATAATATTGTCATCCAGTCACATTTGACTGTTCACTTTATGTATCACCTATTGTAAATACTTACCAATTTGATTGCCACATGCTCGTTGTTGTACAGGTTCTTACCTGAAAAACAATTTTTAATCAAGTTAAATATGACCTCACAGGATGAATCATACAAAGTAGCAAGAAAAACTACCCAAATCTCAGTATGTATTGCCACTCATTAGCGTCATTGTTTATTTTACATTAAGGTCACAAGTACACTTTCACACATAAAATACCTGAGAGCTTGGTCACCTCAGATCGTATGATGAGTATATTAATACTTACCTAGACGCAGTTCACCGAAGTTTCCACATCCAATCTTTTTTCCAACTCGAAAATTTGGCCCAACCATGAGCACACCCGAGTTGCTAGAAGCACTTTGCCGGTTTGAACTGTGCATGCTTCTGGCACTAGATTTCCGTCGTGTTTGTTCGTCACTTTTTTCGTACTCTCTTTTTGGTGTACTCATGGGGATTTTTATGTAGAGAGCCACTCTAAAAATTAACTAGGAGGTAGGTATCCAACTGAAATAAAATCGGAGATTGATCTCAAATGGGCGATCTAGTCGACCAGGGCTGCCAAGCCCCATCTAATGCCCCTTCCTGGTTCTTCTTTGGGGCTCCGTGAAAAATCAAACATTTCTGCTAGGTACCGGATAAACAAAAGATCCCATTCCTTTCGTTCATTTCAACGAATATGAATAATTAGATCAACAAATTAATATATTCCTCCGTAAGATATCTTGTTTTCCTGTCTCAAAGGCCGTCTATGCAGGGGAACTATAACATTCGATTCTCTCAAATTCATCCGCGACCGCAAATTGTTGAAGGGCAGGTACATATATCATATAAATTTCAAAAGTATTTCCTCAAAAGCTTTGATTGGGTTCATCAGCATTTACGGGTTATATCTTGAAAAGTTTTTCACTTTAAATATTGGGGGTTTATGTTTTTGCATCGGATGGATATGAACAGGAAGATGTTAATGATTCATCCGGCTGCGTGCGCACTAAGGGATTCCCCGTTACCAAGTGCGGAACTGTCTATTTGCTGACAACGAACAAATAAACCTATGTGTGTGCGAACTAGTTAAAAAACATACGTTTAAAGGATACAGTCTTTTGATGTAATTTGTACGCATTCGTCAAATGAATACAACAATTTAAATGGCATAATGATAGGTCAAATTCGTCAGCTGATTATAACTTTGACGTCACTTCCGTGTCAACAAGCATGGCGGATGTTTTCGAAATTTGACTCTGCTGATCGGAGTATGTTTTTGCAAGTTTAGCTGCATAATTTTGCTTGAAATGACGGGAAAGGAGCGTTATCTTGTCGTTATTTCTGTTTTGGAAGGTATGTCTATGTTGAGTTTTCATTCCCGTGTACATATGGTGCATGTTCATGATGTAAACTAGAAAAGTAAAGCACCTGTCAAATTTGCAGGTCTGATCTCGTTTTTGATACAGCGGTTTCATTGAAATCACAGAAAACTCCTTCTAGAAATAAACATAGAAGTGTTAGTTATGTTCTTTGAAACGCAATACAGGGCAGACAACCTGAACATTCTTTTCATGAAACATTACACTTTAAAGATGTCCTGACCGAATAGTCATATTCACCATGTCCCATGATCGTTTGCATGTTTTGTGCAAGTTAGTTGTCTGTACATCCATTATACTAATCTGAAAAGACTGCTTTAACAATGTTAACTGTCTTGCAGTATTAGAAATTCTATGTAGAGTTATGAGAGCAATGGCTGGCGCCAAATTCCAAAATGTTAGTAAATATAAACTACTTTTGTTTGTGACGAAAACACCACTGATAGACAAATGATGTCAGCTTATAGAGTGAAAGAATATATATGTAAGACAATTTACTCAGTTCACACATACATTTGATGGATCCACAACTTTCTTATATACGAGATCATAGGATGAATGATGTTATGCTATTTAATCTTTCCATGGAGATAAATTATTAACATGTATACATTCTTTTCAATCCACATCATCAGATTTCTGAAAGAATTTGCATTTTTAGGTTTCAGAATATGTCTCAAAATCGTACATATTCTTTTCCATTAAAAATGTGAAATTGCTGGAGATTCTGTGGAATTGCCAAGGAAAACCTGTATGCTTATTGTGGAGCTAAGGCTGAGATTGGATGAAAAATGCCATTCCTCCCATTTTGCATAATCCTCGCAAAATTTTGCCAATGTCCACAGAGAGCTTCACCTACTTTAAAAGTATAAGCCAAATGTAACATTCTGACAAGTACTACTGTAAAGCAAATTCTATTCAATCAGTGTTTCGCACTTTGCGTCATAGTCTCTTTTTCATTATGCAAACAAACTAGTTTTGGGTATGTGTTATTATAGCATGATCAAACCTGATGTATCAAACTAAGGGCTACTTCATATCCAACTTCACAAACATATTCACACTGGGCATATTGTGTTTCATAACACAGTAAAGTTACTCAATCATGGCAGTCTTTTGACTGCATCAGGTTTAGTCCATTACACTTGATACAGATTGTAACTTTTGCTAGGCTTTTGTCCAAACATTTATTGGAGATATTTGTTACTTATTTTTTAATTCTAGGGACTATAAATGATGTTTGAAGCATAAAAGAAAGCTACAGTTTGCCCAAACAGACCAGACGTCTTAACATTTAACTTGAATAACGATTTCTATAAGTAAATATGTAATTTTGATAGAAACAAACAGCTTTCATATTGAAAAGAAGCCTTAGTGAGATGGGGGTTTCAGAAAGTGTATACCTTTTTTATCTTGGGCTATAGCATTACATTAAGGACTGGGCTGAAGGGGAAATAATAATGTTCAGGGACTATCAGATAGACGAATGATTAGGATTGCATGCTATTACCGGTATATCGCAATAAGCTATTCAAACGATACGTATTGCAATATTTTTTCTGAGAACCGGTATATTGGGTAAAGAACATATATATCTTTATGGTTTAAGTTAAAATCTACACATACTTTCATTCACAACAGATGTTTTCCTTCGTTATTCAATGACAAAACGGCATTCTGTAATGCTATAAATTGCATGGAAAAGAAAATAGAAGCCATGACTATACAACCCAATTTTGAGATTGTTGTTATCAGAACCATAACATTTATGCTTAGGAATTTATAATGTAGCAAATAGGATTGACATGCACAATTAGTGTCACTGACTGTCAAACACCTCAGTTCCCAATATATCGCAATACATATCGCAATGCGGGTACCCAAATCACAATATATTGCAATACAGTTTATTTGCCAATGCACAGCCAAACGAATGATTAGCATACTCACAGTGTCACTTGTTTCCCTACAGTCTGATAACAAAGGGTAAAATTATAAAGTAAATTTTACAACATTATGAAGAACATAATGATTATCTTTTAAAACAAAATCTCAATAACATGATATATGACATAATTGCCATATCATGGCTCTGTTTTTGTCACTTTATGATGGTTTTCCTTTGTTACTTAAAAAAATATAAACGATTTATCACACATCCCAAATGTATCTGTCTTGCCCCAAACCTGGTTTAGGTTTTCCTATTAAGCCTGATAAATTGTTGAGAATCCTGTTGGCTTGTCAAGATGAAGATAGTGGGTTCCATTCCAGAGATGGGTGTTACAATCAATTTCTTGTGTCCTCTGCTGTAATCAGGTTGAATAGTGACCAATTGCACTCTACCCTACTCCTTCACTTGGAAATCCACCCATGAAGGTCCGGGTTAGAATGAACCTTCAGTCATGCTTGTCGTAAGAGGCGACTAACGGGATCGGGTGGTCAGGCTCGCTGGCTTGGTTGACACATGTCATCAGTTCCCAATTGCTCAGATTGATGTTCATTCTGTTGATAACTGGATTGTCTGGTCCAGACTCGATTATTTACAGACTGCCACCATATAGCTGGATTCTTTTTCAGAAGAAGTCCTCCTTGGGGTACATATAAGCATTGAAATGTCCATTTTAAATATTGCTGAGTGCGGGGTAAAACTAATCTCACTCACTCACTTGGAAATCATCATATCTCTGCAGTGTTTAACTCATGTGCAGGTTATCATGGAATATAATTACTGAAATCAGATTATTCATCATTGGGAAGTGTTATTACTACTTCTATTGGAGATAGACGATGAAAACTATTTAATAGTTTGATATCGCATTGTGATCCAATTAATGAGAATATTTGTTGGTCAGTTGGTTTCATTATCCAACCCAGGACTAAATAATAAAATCTATTATTCGTTTTGTTATTTTCTATTTGGATGACTTTGTGTAGTGTGTAAAGAATACTGAAACTGATATGGGTTTTTTATTTACATGAACATTCAAGAGAATGAATGTGATATCATGTGGGATTTTATTGTTTTGTGTAATATTGATCTTAAGTTGATGAATAATTGCTTGTCGAAACCAATACTTTGTTTTAAATTATAACCAGTCCCTATTTTATGGTGCATAACACCGAAATGTGAAGGAGGTCATGACAGCGATCTTGCAATTTTTCTATTAACAAATCAACCATTGATTTTATGTCAAAGTTTGCCTGTATTTATCATGTTTGTTATATTTAGTAGTTTGATTTAATCTCTATTATTTTCTTTATACTTTTAAACACACTCCTTGATCAGTTGATATTTTGGTACTGTAAAAAAATTATTTGATTTTGATAATTTCAGGTCGAAAATTCCCCAAACGTGCTCGTCACAAGATTATTGCTGAAGCTCGTTTTGATGGAGAGTTGCTTGCTACAGATCCAGTTGATCATGTGGAATCCCCCAGATTTTACACAAGAACTGGCGTGGGAACTTGACAAGAAAGCTCTCCAGCAGCACAGATTACAGAGAACGTCCATCAAGATCCAGTGTTTTGCCTATGATGTTCAAAGTACTTTGAAAGAGGCCATAGGCTATGTCATACTGGATTTGAGAGCTGCGACAACTAATAAACAGGTTTACACCCTTAACCAACTATTGCATGCACTGTTAGATCTTGTGTGAAATACATGGCCACTGTTTCGTTGCTATGACAACACACAATGTGTGTTAATTGCTGAAACTTTGTGGAACTTGAAAATGTTATTATGCTTTGAAACAGAACTGTAATTATTAAATTTTGAAACAATGTTTCATTTGTCAATGTATTAACAAAATAACATCTCTCATTGTTTATCAAGAAAGTGTTTAAAAAGTATCTAAAAGATTTGTTCTCTTGTTTTCTAGGTTGCCAAGTGGCATCAGATTCTTCACTCAAAGTACCACAAGTCAAAGCCAGAAATCCGTCTGGCATTATACTTAGATGATGACAAAAACCCATCACCTGGGATACTTCCAGGACTGAGTCCAGTCAGACCAATTGGTATGTACACATTACAAGTATTCAATTTATGCTGAGAGCTTTGATTGTAGACTGTTAGTGACTGTAATACTATCATATTATATATGGGTGAGACCCATGAAAAATTCATTTCAAATTGTTGAACTTCTTTAAAGGGGAGTATTTTACGTGTTCTTTATGAGTGACATTTATGGGATGGTTTACTATGTGATATTCTTTTTGGTTGATAGATTTCATCTGCACAGTGCAGAATTATTATGTACATTTCCAGTTTTCTTTTCTTGTTTTGTAGTGATCAGGAAACAATTTCAAATGTAAGGGTAGCAATTGCGATCTGTTAGAATTGGAGATTCTACCAGTAGATATTGCGATCGGAGTCTCTAACAGTAGAGATTGAGATCGGAGTCTCTAACAGTAGAGATTGAGATCGGAGTCTCTACTGGTAGAATCTCCGATCCTACTAGTAGAGATTGCAATTGGAGTCTCTATGTACAATTTCCTATTCACCTGGTAGAAACTCCAATTCATCTGTGGGCAAACAACAAAGACACTTTATTTGCTGAACAATAACATGCATTTTATTCAGGATAACACTAGACTGTTTCCAGTTCAACAGATATATTTGGAGCTAAAATACAAACGTGATTTGAGATCATATTACAGTATATACACATCTTACAAAACAGATTACAATGATGATCAATTGTATAAATCATTACATGTGTACTATATATACTATGATGGTTAAAGCCTGCTATTACACAAAGATGGACATTATCAAGAGCTATGGTGATTTGAAGCTCTGTCATGATGGATACATGTACACAAAATGCTACACCAAGAAGAACTTTTGTCAGATGGGACCTGAATATTACAGAATGAAATGTATTTTACACTACTTCTTGTTCATTCATTCTTCTTGTTCATTCATTGCTTGCACAAGTGTAGAAATGCAATCTCTACTAGTAGGATCAGATTTGAGTTTCTGCTGGTAGAGATTGCATTTGTATAGGTTATTCTATATAATCAGAGTCTCTACCAGTAGAGACACCAATTGCAATCTCTTCTGGTAGGATCGGAGATTCTGCCAGTAGAGACTCTGATTGCAATCTCTACTGGTAGATACTCTGATCGCAATCTCTACTGGTAGATACTCTGATCGCAATCTCTACTGGTAGATACTCCGATCGCAATCTCTACTGGTAGATACTCTTGATCGCAATCTCTACTGGTAGATACTCTGATCGCAATCTCTACTGGTAGATACTCTGATCGCAATCTCTACTGGTAGATACTCTGATCGCAATCTCTACTGGTAGATACTCTGATCGCAATCTCTACTGGTAGATACTCTGATCGCAATCTCTACTGGTAGATACTCTGATCGCAATCTCTACTGGTATATACTCTGATCGCAATCTCTACTGGTAGATACTCTGATCGCTAATCTCTACTGGTATATACTCTGATCTGATCAATCTCTACTGGTAGATACTCTGATCTGGTAGATACCTGATCTCAAATCTTCAATCTCTACTGGTAGATACTCTGATCGTAATCTCTACTGGTATATATTCTGATCGCAATCTCTACTGGTATATACTCTGATCGCAATCTCTACTGGTATATACTCTGATCGCAATCTCTACTGGTAGATACTCTGATCGCAATCTCTACTGGTATATATCTAACTTCTACTGGTAGATACGCAATCTCTACTGGTATATACTCTGATATACAAATCTCTACTGGTAGATACTCTGATCGCAATCTCTACTGGTAGATACTCTGATCGCAATCTCTACTGGTATATACTCTGATCGCAATCTCTACTGGTATATACTCTGATCGCAATCTCTACTGGTATATACTCTGATATATACTCTCTCTACTGGTAGATACTCTGACTGGTAAGACTCTGATCGCTACCTCTACCCTGACAGGAAGAGATACTGTGGAAGGCCAGTACAACTTAAAATCAAATTCACTCATTCTGTCAGTTTTAACCAGTTAATATTGAGTCAGTATTTCCTTGAAGATGAGGCAGACTTGGCAAAGGGGTTGCAACCACACACTCTCAAGCCAGCCCTGAATGAAGATGAAGGATATTATCAGATTGGTCCTGCCAAGCGACACACAGGACAGTTTGTTTTGTCTGTCACTATTGCATATGCTGCAAATCTAGCCCAGGTAGGTTGTTACCCTGTGTTGTATGGGGGTGTATGTTGATTGCTATATCAGCCATATTGTCTTGCTTTCGCTGCCTACACTTTTACAGGCCTGGCCTCTCTACAGGATGTTCCAGCTCTGCTTCTAGAAAGAGCTGATAAAACATGTATAACTGAAACACTGCATCAAACAAAAACATGCTGATTTATTCAGTTAGAATTAACGATGTCTAGGAAACAGAACATGGTACATTCATGCTTCTTGAGCAATAGGAAACTCTCCTGACATACATGTTGCAAGGTCTTCTTCTTCTGGATGCAGCAGTATTTGCATTTAGGACATCTGGCACCAGCTGTCCTGAAGGCAGCATGACTCAACATGCTCAACCCTAGCTTGCCATATCCTGAGAAAATCTTATCTTGAGGCATACCACTGAAAAACCAATGGAGAGCAACCAAACCGTGGAATATGTACACAATTATAATAGAAATAGCTACACATATTACAAAGAAGACAAAGTCACAATAAAGTTGGCATCATATTGATTAAAACCTGCCACATTTTCAATGGAACCAACCTCAGAAAATCATGCAGACCATATCAAAACAAGAGCACATCTACTTTTTGCCACCTCAATAGAAAATGTGGTAGGTTTTAAACATTATGCGGGGACATTTTGTTAGCTTTAGGGTTGTAACGATGCATCAAACTATCGATGGATTGCTATTGTTGAGTCTCAATGCATTGATAGTATGTGTGACTATCAATAGTTTAGTATTTAACCTCCGTTGATAAATGCACAGTGCAAAATACAGGAAGTACCAGATTCATTCACTTTGATTTAGAGTTACCTCTTAAACAAACTTCATCTGGGTTTCAAGCTTCTTCTCAGTTATTAAAAGAGACTGAAACTACTTCAGCTTGTTTTTATTTCATATAAACTAAACATTCATTCGGGAAATGACTTCAAATGAGACAATTCAAGGAGGAAAAAACTATTGCAATAGTTGGTCGCAATAGACTATTGTTATGTCAATAGTATGTTGCAATAGGCTATTGCAATAGTTGTTTCCCCTCAATAGTCACAGTTAGCTTCCTTGACATTTCTTCCACAATATGTTATTTTAAACTTTCAGTTTAATAATGCACAAAATTACAAATATATGTTATATACTCAGTTTGAACAACACAGATCCTGTCTGTATGGATTCTTCACTATCAGTGTTGATGTAGTCAGTGACAGGTGACATCTATACTGTTGTTTTCCAGTTGATCCCGAGCACCTTGCCACTGCCTGCTAGTGGTGACATCTAATACTGTTGTTTTCCAGTTGATCCCGAGCACCTTGCCACTGCCTGCTAGTGGTGACATCTAATACTGCTGTTTTCCAGTTGATCCCGAGCACCTTGCCACTGCCTGCTAGTGGTGACATCTAATACTGCTGTTTTCCAGTTGATCCCGAGCACCTTGCCACTGCCTGTTAGTGGTGACATCTAATACTGTTGTTTTCCAGTTGATCCCGAGCACCTTGCCACTGCCTGCTAGTGGTGACATCTAATACTGTTGTTTTCCAGTTGATCCCGAGCACCTTGCCACTGCCTGCTAGTGGTGACATCTAATACTGTTGTTTTCCAGTTGATCTAGTGGTGACATCTAATACTGTTGTTTTCCAGTTGATCCCGCAGCACTTTGCCACTGCCTGCTAGTGGTGACATCTAATACTGCTGTTTTCCAGTTGATCCCGAGCACCTTGCCACTGCCTGCTAGTGGTGACATCTAATACTGTTGTTTTCCAGTTGATCCCGAGCACCTTGCCACTGCCTGCTAGTGGTGACATCTAATACTGTTGTTTTCCAGTTGATCCCGAGCACCTTGCCACTGCCTGTTAGTGGTGACATCTAATACTGTTGTTTTCCAGTTGATCCCGAGCACCTTGCCACTGCCTGTTAGTGGTGACATCTAATACTGCTGTTTTCCAGTTGATCCCGAGCACCTTGCCACTGCCTGCTAGTGGTGACATCTAATACTGTTGTTTTCCAGTTGATCCCGAGCACCTTGCCACTGCCTGCTAGTGGCGGCTACTTCTTCTACTACTCACTCCTGGGTAATGACGTGACCAACGAGAGTTTCGCCGACCTCATCAACCCCAGCTTCCCCGCTGAGCGGGCATCCGTGAGACTGCGGAGCAGCGTTGATGCACTCAGGGTCTTCTTTAACAGCCAGCCAGGCATACAGGTAACAAACATTATGTTACAGTCTAGACCTTTCTACAGTGCTACTCTTTCCCACATGGGTACAATGTGTGAAGCCCATTTCTGGTATCCCCCAGCCGTGATATTGCTGGAATATTGCTTTTAAACCGAACTCACGCGCTCTACAGTGCTACTCATCACGTCCAGATCACTGGTTCTACCCTCAGCATCAAACTATTATTGAATATGCTGATACTAAAGGGTTTCTTACCCTAATGATAGTGAAGGAGTGTTTGAGCAGACACAGGGCCCAAGGCTCAATGTTCTGCCAAGGCAGCGGTCTTGTGGAATTCTCGAAAAAAGATTAAGAATGGTACAATGATTTGTTATTGCAGGGACATTGGGCTCAATCAGTTTACAGTGATTTGAAATTTAAATAGCTCCAAGCAAGTTAAACAAAAATACTTTTATCACCGACTCGAACATAATATTTGCTTCCATCACAGTGCCCTCTACTACCCTCATCTTTGAATCATAATTGAATATGCTGACACTAGAGGGATTCCTGACCATAATGATAGTGAAGGAGTTTTTGAGCAGAACAAAGTTCAAGGCAAGAACTAGAGTTGGGTTAACCTACCCTAACCCTAATACAACTAACCATTTGGATGTAATATTTATGGGAGATCAGTGAATAGAGATCCACACCCAGGAACCAGACATTTAGACAACAGAGAGTCTTTTAATGTCAAAGCCAGATACTGTACTGTTGATGGTGAACACTAAAGTACTGTCGGAAATCTAGAAAAATGCTTTTTAGCCTTAATATCTTTATGAAGGTGATAAATGTACTATGTTGTCAATATATCAACTCGCCTATAGTGTACCTAATTTTTATTTCAATCGTTTAACATTCCCATGCATTCAAAGGGCAGTTTACAGGAGAGAATTTGGTACCAAAAGAGCAACTAAAGATTTTTTCAAAGTTCAACTTCAACAACAGAAATCTGAAATAGTCTTTACATTTATGCTAATAATACAGGTGGTGTAAAAATATGAATTAACGTTTTTCCTGAACAAAATAAACGTTGAATGTTTGTGTTACTTTACTTAATTATCGTTTCTTTATTGAAGAAATATTAATATAAATGTTAAGTCTTGATAAATAAGTTTCCCGTCATGCATGCACATCTTTATCACAGCGTCCACTATGGCCAAGAATTTGCAGTTGATTGTTGCAAAGGTTTATAATTTTTTTCTGCTTGAAAAAGACAGAGGTAAACCTTTCATTAGTTTAGAAAGGGTTTATTACAGAACTTGTAGAGCTGTTGGTTTGTCTTACCAACAAGTTTACAATATTGTAAACAAATCAGACAAGACAGGGACCGTCTCAAAAAGCAACACCGGGATAAAACCATCCTTGACAACTTTGACAAGGGAGTGCTTAGGCGGCGGTCTACAAACTTTATGAGAAGAAAAATATATATATTCTAACGATGCTACACCAGTGACTTCAAGTTAAATCTTTGGCCAATGTTCACAACTAAATTAAACTGACCGAATTACATCCTTTTTTAATTTTTGAAATATACTGTTGACATGCAAACATTTATTAAAACGTTGCACATTTCTACAATCAATCGATAAGATAACACAAGTGATAGGATTCTTTAAAATGTAGAGTAATTCGTGATGCTTATTTCAAAAACAAACACACATACACAAATGATCCCTTACATAACCAATACGTGATACTATAATGCATTACACATATTCAACATTTTGCAGAAAACATCTATTGAGATGACCCCTCGCCCGAGCGTGTACGTGCTCAGTTGTCAGTTTCACCTGTCGATACCGTGCATGCTAATGACGTAACACAGGCAGTTAATGTTTGTATCAAATAACATCCCACTACCCCTTATTTTTCTAAGTTTTTGGTATTTTCATCAGTAAAAACACATTTTAGAGCATGTCTCAAAATTTATTCCCTCGGTCTACATTAGGTAGATGTTTCTTGAAGTGATATTTGTTATTTTTATTTATCCTGACTCATGCTTATTGCTTGTCTTCTTCTTCTTGCGAACCTAGTGGAACACGTGTATCTCCCAATTGAATTTCCCTTCAATAAAGAAATCACTAATTAGTACTCACCACGAGTTACCTCCCCTGCCCAAGCTAGGGAACGAGGGGGCCACCTCAACCCATGTGCCTCACTCTCTCCTTCTTCGCCCAGTGAGCTGGTCGTGAGAGCACCTGTGTCTCCCGACACACTATATCCTTTATTTATATTTAATTTAGTACCTCTTATATTCATTTATAGAGGTGTTACTAGTATCCTTATTCAACTTGCATTGATTATTAGTCGTGTTTCTGCTGTTTTATTCACGGTTCGCCGTGTTTGTTCAGCAGTTTACGTTAATGAGAATCTACACAGGTTGTAAACTATGTTATTCAGCTACCGATCCACATTTAAAATGCCCTAGTTGCATTACTCCATGTTCTATTGTTTCTAGTTGTAAATTATGTATTAATTTACCAATTTCTACTTTTGATAAATATCTATGTTCCGTTTTGAGACGGAAGGCAGATAAATCTCTGTAAACAATCTTCAGTCATGCGCTAATAGATCGAAGCTAATATACCCTGTCAACTGTTGACTGATCTACCACCGGCTGGTGGCATGCCTGAGTTTCCGCAGGGGATAAGTGTGGGGACGCGATCGGCTATGTCAAGAAGCGACCTGCATCTCAAGATCTGCCGTCTTCTCAGTCTAAGACTAGCAAAGCGTCCATATCATCTCGTGCGCGCCAGACACCCAGGTCTACAACTTCGCCAAAGGGAAATCTACAAAATCTAATAATTTTGCCTCTGATATTTTACCAGTCACAGAATTAGCCTTTATATGATGATGACATTCCGATTATTATTCCAGATGTTGCGTCACAAAAAGAAACGTCCTGTATCTGCGACTGTCACCTCAGGCATGAATTAGCACACAACCCGGAGATGCCTACGCTGTCACCAGAATTTTTGACTGAGGGGTCCCGTCCACCTTCATGAGAGAGACAATCCTCATCATCAGCGCAGACCGCCTCAGGCGACCTGGTCAACCAAATCATGAGGCTGATGGAAGGCCGTTACGGTTTACAGAGGCCCCAGAGCCACGGGCCCCAGAGCCCAACCCATATTAAAGTCATACAGGGCCCCAGAGCCCGCCTTGGTTTCAGCGTAGGGCCCCAGAGCCTGACAGGCGCCTCCTTGAAGCATCCCAGCCGGAGCGAGCTCTTCTTGCATAGGAAGTCTCAGGCCACCTCCGCGAAGGGGCTAGAGCCTCACCTATTGCAATGGGCTTCGCGGAGAAGGAGCGCTTCGCCGAGCACGCACCTTGTAATTCACAGAGGTCGTTCGCGAAGCAAGCGCTCATATGTCGATTCGGACACTGACTCGAGACATTCGCGAAGGACGCGAAGGCTAAGTGGTTCCATTTCTACCTCGCCTAGAAGAGCTTCGCGAAGCCCCCAGCGTTCGCGAAGCCCCCAGTGTTCGAGAAGCCCACAGCGTTTGCGAAGCCCTCACCGTTCGCGAAGCCCCCAGCCTTCGCGAAGGATGTCTTCTCCAAGGTCTCCGTACACTAGCCACTCGTCAGTCCGTTCTCCACAGTCCTCTCATAGATCTTCCTATAGATCTGGGACTCCGACATATGACCATACGTCAGAAGAGGAGGATGGTATCATTTTCTGAGATGCTGAGATAAGATATATCCCGCGGGTTCGCCGAGGAAGTCTCCTCCAAGGTCTCCATATACTAGCCACTCGTCATATATAGCCTCTCGTCAGTCCGTTCAAGACATCGCATGAGTTGTCTATCAACTGTATACCATATCCGTCTACAAGCCTCACGCTGAAGACAATTGCACAGGCTATTTACAACACAGAACGTCGCTGTATTAATTTATCAACAGATGAAGAGCCTAATTAAGGATCTTCAAGCCCGACTACCTACATCAAAGGCATCAACGATGCGTTTAAGTAGATCTTCACAGGAATCAACATTTTTGTATAGATTGCTAGGTATGCAATCGGACCTTCTGATACGATTATCTACATCTGCAGTGACCATTACACGAGATCTACAGACAATTCAATAAATCGAAATTGTACAGCAGCCTTGTTACAGCGAGTAAAACTCATAATCGTCAACAATTTCCTGAGAAGAAATATGTACAACAAGTTCAGCTTTAACAGTCTACAAGCTGACAACTTGCAAGTTTTATTGAACCTTATATAAGGAAGTCGGAATTATCTTCAAGACTGAAGTTATTTTCACGACAGCCTGGGAAATAACCTACCAGCAATAATATTACAGAGCTGAGGTATTTCGCCCGAGGAGGTTTAGCAACGTTTACCATTAACCCTCGAAACACGTGGGTCACCGGGTTGCCGAGGCTTCGCGATGAAGACCGGCCGATTGTTCTAATATCAACGACGGCACTATATTATACAAGGTTCCTTTTCCTGCTACACGGTGACATCACAGCCGGGTACTCTACAGAATCAAAATGCCTTGTTCTGATTGGACCGAGATGGACAACCTACTCAGCAGAGTCGATCATAGTTCACAGTTCAAGACATAGGTTGCGAAGTGACAACAATATATCAGTGAGCGAGCAAGCCTCCTTACAGTCCAGCTAATCTGAACCTTTATGATTGGGCTGCCTTCTTGAGGTTAGAGACCTCCCATGTCAAGTAAGGACGAGGGCACGGCAGACAGGCTTATTTTACATAAAGTTCAAGCGATGGCAGTCACCCCTGGTTGTGCACCTACATCGTCAAGGACTTCGCGGAATTTAACTCGACGAGGATACAAATGGATCCAAATCCATAAGCGTCTCAGACTACAGTTGAATTCATCATCAAGCTACTAACACAACTAGATGGTTAGTAAACCTACTTAAGTTGGACCTAGAACTAACCGCTAGTTCTGCTATTGTAGGTTTTTATTGTAACGGCGCGGCAGAATCCGTATAATTGTACCGGAGGA